AGTATCTTGAAGAAGGCTGAACTTTCTGTGTCCAATCGTGATGCTCCACGCGCTAAATAGTTCAGATATGGTTTAAAAAAAAGTTTCTCAACAAGTTTTATTGATTTTGCATGTAACCTTAATAGAGATGACTTACTTGGTCTCTATAACCGGGCCCGGTTCTCGTAACCACAACAGTTCTTGCGTTTGGAGAGGTTGTCTGCTGATACTGTGTCCTATGGTCGCCACTTGAGGAGACTGACTGCTGATAGCGTGTTTGCTGATCTCCAGCAGAAATCGACTGCTGGTAATGCGGTTGCTGATCAGCCTTCACATAGACAGGTGGTTGGTAGCGTGATTGCTGACCGCCATGTTGATAGTCTGTTCGCACATCTCCCCTTGCTTGCCTCAAGGCTTGTTCATAATTTTCCCTCGCAATTTGTTCTCTCTAAATGAATAGATATAATAAAAATCCAATAAATCCTTCCTGTTTAGTCCATCAGAATTCTTAAAGATTGAATGGCATGTCAGAAACACAACTTTTATTATTTTCTCGCAAACGCTTACTCAAAATCTAATATTCCCATTACCCCGAATGAGGAATTTGCATGTATGCGATAAACTCTAGGTGGTTTGACCATCACCGCTTAGATTTATTTCTCTAATTTCTAAAGAGCGCTACTGCATAGTTAGTCGTAGAAAATGATATTATTCATGTGTATGCTGACATCATAATTATTTTTCTATTTTCCTTTCTGCTATGACAATAATAAATGATCTTTACCTGATTTTGAAAGGCTGTGTCAACTCCATAGGTTTCGCGTCTCTGCTGGGGCTGAGGATGTGAAGACTGACTGGCTAAGTCGTAGTGCTGCGAACGGTCAACAATTCTGTGCTGATCTGCAAATCCCTGATGTTGTGACCAATCTGAAATGCCCTGCTGTGATCGATCACGGAAGCTTTGTTGAGATTGTTGTGGAAACTGGGAAAAGGATCCAGATTGTTGAAACACGGCAAGTGACGCTTGTGACATTGTGGATCGCTGAAGAAATGGTTACAAGCTACAATAATCAAGCAATCGAGCTAATTCCATACATTTCTTTTTCCCCAG